GGCCCGGAGTACGGCCAGCTGGCAGCTACTGCCACGTGGCAGAAGAGTGACCGTCTGACCAGGGACTTCCTTGGTTTGACCGACGCCGGTGGCGGCTCCAGCGGCGGAAGAGGTGGGATGGTGCAAGTTAGCATGAGTGTGAAGGATATGCTAACGTACGCAGGAGGACTGGAAGTGCCACGTCAGCACCAAATCTTTAGTAAACCTCATCATCATCATCATGCTTTTGAGTACACGGAGCCAGCTGAAAATGAAACATGGGGGGACTGTTGAACGAAACGATGTCGTTTCATGTGGGAGAAAAAAATAGAAAGGAAAAAAATACCCCTAATAGTAATTATCCAATGTGTTCCATTGCAATTTCCCTCTCTTTTTTCTTTTTCTCCTTCTTTCCTGGAAGTTATTAAATTTTAATGAATGCGTTCTTTTTCCATAATTCCTTTCAATTGTGTATAAAAGTTAATCTTAGAACTTACCATTAAAAAAAATTGTAGTACATTTAGCTAACCTTATATTTTAGATTCTATTCATTAGGGTCTCATATTGAGCTAATCTACTTGAGATTCATATCAAATCTTGACGCAAAGATTAAATGGCAAAATCTTAAAATAAATTGTGGTAAGAAAGTTTAATACCAAGATCGAAATAAAATAAGTATAACATTTCAACTATCTAATATGTCTTATATACAATATTTTCTTACGATGTTTCAAATACAAATAGATCATGTTTCGTTAATTATTTTCAAATATTTTCATAAATTAGTCTTTTATAATAAAAGTAATAAATTTTGATCTTTAAAATACCTTATTCATTAATTCACTCCATTCAAACAAGAGAAAAACCTTACTTTAACCACTTAGCTTGTAGAAGTATTTCAAAATAGAATTGGGAAAATTATTAAAAATGTGTTTTTGATATTTGGCAAAATAATTGAGTATGATTTGAAATTGACAAGGAATGGTAGGTAGGGAGAGGTTATGATGTTAATTCAACTTAGCAAGCATTATGGAATATTATTATAATGTTTTGTTTCCTTTTTTCTTCCAAAGTAATTTAGTTTGAAACAAATCCATAGGCAAAAAAAATAATAATAACAACAATAATTTAGTTTGAGACAAATCAATAGGCAAAAAATATTATTATTATTATTATTAAAAATTTAAATTAGAACCGAAGCCTTTTTTCTTCCCGTGATAATGGAATGATGGACCTACATGAATCACGGAAAACAATAGGCGCATGCAATGAAATCACCGTTTTGCCCCTCCTAACATGACTTAATTACGGTCAGAGACCTTCAAAAAGGCAGAAACTCTGCCTCACCTTTTCTGAATTTTTCATCTCAATGCAGTTTGTTTTATCACCTAATATGAAAAAATATCAGAAAAATCATTGGTTTGATGGAAATTACTCTTTTGCTCATAATCAAAACGCTATTTGCAAATTCACTCTCTTAATTAGACCATTTGAATCACCATAAACATAACTCAATTTTTCAACACATTTTCAAATTTATAATTCATTTTCAAATTTGAATTCTTGTTTTGGTCTTAAAACCATGTCAAGAGTTATCCAAGAACAAGTTCCTCCAATTTACCAAACAAAAAGCATCATTTGTTCTAGGTCACTTGAGACGAAAGAGAGTAACATGCAAATTGATTGAAAATAATAATGCGTTCAATTATAATTGTAGTCTATATAGTTTGTATTGGATTTCAATTTATAATCCCTATTATTTTGTTAAAACTCGTAAGTACTCAATCCTATCCAGTATTGATAGTTTTTTTAGCGTATCTTACATGATAAAAAGATGAAAACATATCATATGATATAACTATCAACAATCAGTTGAACGCAAGAAACGTTCTGAGATTCAACCAGTCACAAAAATCAAATTGAAACTGAGCCCAAATCATAAGAAGCGTAACGGGGAATAGGAGAGGGAGAGAAGGAAGAATATGGCATGTGGAGAAGGGGAGGTGCCGGTGGTGGGAGCCATGGGTTGTACTCTTTGAGAGCGACGAATGTGGAATGGCCCCATAGCCATAGGGGACCCCAAGCCAGCATTTGTTCGACAGTGATGCCTTTCTTTATTTCCTTTTTTTTCTACATTATATAATATTCTTTTTTTCTTCTCCTCGAATAAAATGTAAAAATATTTTTATTGTTATGGCACCATCTCTGTTTTGTTTTGTCTTCTAGGGATTTCAAGAAATCATTGATGTGTTGAGTTGTCAAAAGGATTTTGACTCGTACCTATGAGGGACCTTAAAAGCATTCGAGTAAATTGACTACCATATTAATTTCAATTTGGTTAATATATTTATAAGTACATTGAAGTAACAAAAATCCAACGTGACAAGTGTTGAATTTTTTTAAAAAGGATTGTTGGACGTCCAGCTTATACTAGTGTGGTACTTGTCGAAGCGATTTGTGATCACAAGTTGGAGAGGGACGAGACGACCTTTAATTTCAGTGCTATCTACCTTCAAAGCAATCCCACATTTAACCCTAGAATTGAAGTCAATCAAACTAAGCACTCCATGTGTGACACTCACACTAGTCCAACAAGATATTCAACATTATTACCATTTCTATCATAACCAAGATTTCTCAAAGGCAAATGACAAGAAGCTAAAAAGAGAAATAAGGAGGCTCGAAAACCATGGAAAAACAGATGCAAGATACCATTTTTTTCCTCCACACCATGGGTGAAATTCTAGATCAAATCCCAAGAATTTCTTTTTCTTCACAACTTTTCTAAGAGGTACTAAGAAATTACTGGAAATATTTTGATAGAGTAGCCTTTTGGAAAGTCAGATGGAGGAGCAGTAAAATTTGGTTGCAAGTGCTGGTCTTTTTTTTTCCCCTCCAAAAAATCTAAAGGCAAACTAAGATGATGGTGTTATGTGAATATGTGCCTTAGTGAGTGACTATTTGTGGTGGTGGTCCGGGACTTGGTTACTGCTGCAAACTAAAAATCTAAAGGAAGAAAAAGAAAAGAAAAAGAAAAGAAAAGAAAAGAAGAGAGAAAAAAAATGTCAACGGTGATGAAAATGATACCAGGAAAGAGGCTGTGGAAGGTTTGAATTGCAATTCTGTGGTGAGAGTTGAGAGTTCTTTTCTTTTTTGTTGTTGCTGCTGCTGCTGCTAAGAGGGGCTTTATCAATTTCTGTGCATATTCCCCCACAATATGATCACAAGCCCTTTAGAAGGCTGCTTAATTAACCTGCAATAACATTCCAATTATTGAGTTAAAACTTGTCCTTCTCTAGCTACTGTTGTCTGATCATCATGTCAATCATTGGTGCAATATATTCTTCAGCATGCTTGAAAAGAGAGGAAAGGAGAATTCTTTCCTCTAGAAACAAAAGGGGGAATTCTTGAGTCGTGAATGTGACTACCTTGATCTAACGTTCTAGATTTTTCGATCTAGTTTTCTAGATTTCCCGTTGAGCTACGCTCGACTTGTGCATAACGAAATATTTTTACTTCCATGTTTAAGTGAAAAGAGAAAAAATAGCTTAAGAATTTACGAAAAATATGTCACGGATATATAATTTGATTAATTTATAAATTTGGTCCTCGAGCTTCCAAGATTTGTGTCTAATAGATCCATAAAGTTTAAAAAAAGTCTAATAGGTCTCTAAATTTATGATTTTATGTCGATTTTTGAACTTTAAAAATATCTAATAAATCTCAAAACATTTAAACTTTATTTTAAATTCACAAATCTATTAATAGGTTAGAATCTTATTAGAGGCAAAATCTCATAAGTTCGTAAATTAAAAAAAAAATGTCCAATTAATTTGGAGCCCACAAAATTAAAAATTTTGTCATCAATAAACATTATTTAAAGTTAAAGAACCTATTGTAGACAACCCCGAAAGTATAGAAAGTTTAGAGTACTTAGCCAGTAATTTAACCTGTATATTTTTTTCCTCTAAGTTGATAATGCAAAGGGGTGCATCTACCTTTATATGATTCCTGCAGCAACTGTGTAAAAATGCAGTCAGCTAGCTTACTTTGGATAAAAGGGTTTTGGAATTTTTTTTTTCCCTTCAAAAAAAAAGGAAAAAACCACACACACACATACAATTTCAAAATGGCAAAGCCTATCAACTCAGCCAAAGAAAAGGTTAGGATATTCACAGAGAAAAAGAGAGCAGAGAGAGAGAGAACCTGGGGATTAATGAAAGGATGGTTGAGCATTATGGTATATCCTGGCTTTTAGAAAGTATGTGCATCCGTTGCAGGATTAAGGTACAATATGCCATTTGCCTGGTAAAAAAGACTGCATCTTTTTTTATCTTCCCATCTGCTCTGCACAAACAGACAAAAAACAAAAAGCTTCTATTCCCTCCCCCTCCCTCTTCTTCTATTGAAATTACCTGCCCATGTCATCATCCATCAGGGAATCTCTCTATCTCCACTACCTTTTCTTTTCCCTCTTTTTCTTCCTCCCAATCTTGATTATTTACAGACCTTCTTTTCCATGCTTTTCTCTCCTTTTTCCCTCCCTTCCTACTGCACACCCCTATGATATACCCTAATCTTTTTCCTTTCCACAAACCCATCTTGGGACTCCCACTCTACAAGAAACGAATATTCACTACAAATTGCATTCCTGTCTAAATCTCCTCCACAATGTTCTTATTGGTGCTAATTAGGCCCATCACGATGGTTATCCTATCTTTGTCATCTTACCAAATTCCAGCCGAAGAAAATAACGCTAAACTCGAATTTTAAAGTTGGGACTGATTACAGGTCTCTACACTCTCAATTTTGTATCTAATAAGTCCATGAACTTTTAAACTGTCTAACCAGTCTCTAAATTTACAATTTGATATCTACTAGACTTCTGACTTATTTAATATTTCTTAAAATTTATGGACCTTTTACCTTTCAATGACCTATTAAACACAAAAGTATGGAGCTAATAGATATTTTAAAGCTCATCCATCTAATACAATCTTGATTAAACTTGTAATTTAATAAAAAGAATAATGATGAAATCATAGGGATGAAAAAAAGGGTCAAAGCAAGAGAGTAGTTGAGAATTAGGTCATTGGCAGTGCATGATGTACTTTTCAGTCTTATCTGTAGATAAACAGAAGCTCCTAGGTAATCCTATCACCGACCCAAGTACTCTACGACAATAATCACTAGTCAAATGCAACCACACATGGCAAAAAGCATTTAGGTTGTCTACTAGCTGCTCACGTCATTTTTCCTGACTACCATATTTCAGCTCATTAACCTTATTAACTAAAGGAATTTTACTTCTTTGGCTACAACAAATGTGGTAAACCTATAGACGGGTAGTTTATCATAAATGGAGGTAAGGTACTGCGAGCATAAAGTTGAAACTTGAAACAGCGTAGATTTTAAGCAATTTCACTTTTTATTTCCTTCTCTGTACAAAATAAAATGGATATCTGAAATAAATTACCAAGTAATGCCTAGAGTAGGTAATGGTTAATATTCTACATAGATGTGGATAATTTACACGTAAAAAAGTACCAATTGAGAGGAAAAGCTTTAGAAAAATGGACAGCATCGATATGCTCCAGAATCTGCAGGACCAATTTCTTTAAAGGACTTCCCCTTCAAGATCCCAGATTTGGCCCATCTAAGTTTACTCCCAAATATTTATCCAGCACACTCTTGAAAGCCTGCCGCAGAAATTAAAGTAAATATTAATAACCACAATAACACAACAACAACATCAAAAAGAAAAGTTCCAAAGCGCTGCAACGGTATATTCTCTGGCTGTGCTTATTTTATTTATTAGGGAGGGAATAAGAAAAAGTATAAATGAATATGCAGCTAGGCTAGTAGTCTATTCTAAGATGATGAAAAATATTTTTAAAATTAATAAATGAGGAATGAAAAAAATATATATAACATTTTGCTTCAAAACTCGAGCAGAAATGAAGTAATAAATTAAAAAATTAGATAGAAGTGAGTATAACTAGAGAACTATCGCTAGAGAGTATGCACATCCATTAAGATTCTAAATATCAAAAGATGCCAAATTCACGCAAGGGAACAGATATTTAAGGTTATGAGGAGAAAGAACAGTTTTAGGCAATAATTGATCGAACTTAATTAGAAAATAAATAAATTGCTTCTCATCTTGAAACCAAAAAAATGTAACCACCATAAAAAAAGAGCAGCAATTCCTCGGCGGCAAGCTTCCAAATCTCATAAGGATCTTCGCAGAAGAATTCATAAAACAGTTCCTATATCATATTTATTAATTAAGGATTCGTGCGTTTTTGGATGAGTCAATATTGTGCTCCATTTTCAGGGATGCCTGAAAGCTACGCTGAAGTGGGTTTAACTATACCAAGTAAGATATTTCACAAGAACAAAACCTGAGGACACAATTGCAAAGTGCCGTTTGCAATTTGAGGCCAATCAAATTTATTCAGGATGAGATAAAAGATGTGAGATGAACTTTTGCTGTTAGCCACAAATATTGCCTTGGAGACCAATAATTACCATTACGTACTTATATGCTCAGTATTTTGTTCTTCGAATAGGAGAGAGGGGAAAAAGAGTTCAAAAAAGTACGATGCATATTTCCCCTCCCTATAATTTAAAACAAATTGCACAGAGCTATAACTATGCTAAACAGGGAAGATATCATAGTTGGAAGTATAAAATATACTGTCAGATAGAGTTACAATAACCTGACGGGCAAACGCCTCTTTCCTGTTTAGAATTGCATCCATCACAGCAAATTGATCATCAAATGAACTATAGAAAACTTCGTAGAATTTTTTCCTGAGATGAAAGAGATAAATAAGAGCCAAAAGTAAGATATTTCCACGAGCCTCCCTAATGGTAGGAGAAAAGAAGAAAGTATTGTAAAAATAAAATTAACTGATCCTCCTCAGAGTTGCTTTGATCCATTTGATCAAATTTTCGAGTAAGAACTTCTGCTCCAACTGGTGAAAGCAAGTGTAGTATAAGAGCCTCTAGAGTTCTTGGGAAGTTATTCTAGATTTTTCAAGGGAAAGAAAAGTAGTGTAAGATGACAAGCTAAGGAAGAAACAAAGAAAAGGGAAAGCAAAAAAAAAAAGACGAACAAATTCACACATCTGTAACATACTAAAACTAAAAATAGTTCGACATCCATGGAATATTTTCATGCATGATGCATCTTCAGTAATAATGAGAAACCTTATTTTATTCAACTACATCATACCAGACTCTAATTTGAATAAACTAGTTTCTTCTAGGCTTTCCATGAAAAACAATTTCAACCTCCTTGTAAATTTAATAGGGGAGTAAAAATAACTCACTGCCATGGAGAGAAGGACCTTCTGAAGAATACATGGTCCCAAATTCCAAATAAAGTTAGCTACTTGATCATTCTCCAAGCTATGTGAACTAGTCACCTTCATCCTCTCCTCCTCATCTGCAGATCCATTTGTAGAACTTGATTGTGGCGATCTAATTTGATCAGACACACTTACAGTTACACGATCATGAACTAAATTAATAAGCCCATGAAGAGCCTGGATACTACAGGGTTCAAGTTCATGAGCAAAAGTTTCCTGCCTTAGCTCGTTCTCCCTCAAATCCCCACTTTCACGTGCTTGGTTCAAACAAAAAACACCTACCCCTGGTAATTAACAATGAAGATCAATGCACCAGATTATTTCAACAGCCAAATTTAAAAATGTAACTTCTTAACTCTCTTACCCGAGAAAGTTCAAAAGAGTATTAAGATATCTGGAAAGGGGAGGGAAGAGAACATTACCCATCTCTTTGATATTCAATACGTCACGTTCATGGCACTTCATTTCATCCATTTTGGCAATAGAACAAGAAGGCACTTGCAAAACTTTGTTCTGTCCTAATTTAAAAAATGTCAGAACCAACTCGATCACAATTGCATTTATAAAAAAATATGATACATGGCGACAAGGAATATTCAAGAACAAACTATAAATTTCAACATACGGTTAGCAATCATTAGCATACAAGTTTGCATAACATAGACCAGAATACCTTAAGCTTAAGCACAATACTTCAAAAGAAACCTTCTCTAAAAGTTAAAACAAAGTCTCTCTCCGATTATAGTTGTGTTAAATTCTTAGAACTTCATTAAGATTATGGTGTAGGCCAGATTCTTAGTAGAGAATATACTCTTTTTATCAAACTTAAATCTTTATAATCATATTTCTCATATCTCTTCTACTTACTTTAATGACATTTTTAATGATGTTGAGTTTGTTTTACTAAAATGAGGAGAATCTTTATTCTTTACTAACATTGTTATAAAGAGCAAATAACTAAATTTCTCTTAAATACAACATTCTTTACTTTATCTTCCCTCCAAACTCAACATCCTTAAAAACTTTAAGATCTCATCCACATCAACTTCAAGTGGGAACTAACTTTAGAAATTATATATATTGAAAGACTAGTGTATCTAGAGTGACAACTAAAAACCTTAAGTCCAAGCCTCGTAAAACCTTGAATTACAAGTGATTTTAGTTGTTTCTTTATTTGGTACACTACTTAAACTTTTTTATAACAAACTTGAGTGCTTTCTCCAAATAGACTAAAGGTAAGGAAAAATGATTTGTCATATTTCTTACCACATCTTTTTGAGCTTTGAATCATTTTATAAGCAACATACATCTCAAGTTTGCCTGAAAATATATATTACTTATTAGTTCTATAAATCCTTAAAGGAGTTAGCAAATGTCCTAGACCTTATCTTCTCACTCCATCATATTTCATAACGATTTCATTCACTACGAATTAATATATGATGACTTTTAAGATATCCATGAATAAAGATATGTATACTACTCAATCTTGCTACTCCATGTACCCAAAAGGGACGAGCTTCTAAAAATTACAAATGTCTGTATGGATCTGAACCTATGACAGAAGTGATGCAATCTTCAAAACGTTGCTTAATACAATAATTACATTATACGGACGCTCCCAAGAGACAGCCTGGTTGGTTAAGGTTTGGGGTCTCTTGGTCATACTAGTTTAGAGGTTTCAAGTTCGAATCTTCCGGGTAGCTTAATACAAAAAAACCCTTGATGTCTCTTAGGTCGGAGCCTTGGGGCAAGCATGGGTACCCCTGGGTATAGGAGGCAAAACTCCGACTCCCAATTATCAAAAGAAAATAATAATGATAATAACAATAATAATACATTATACAGACTCTATAAGACATATCCACCATAATTACATTCAAGAACACCTAAATTGTGCATATGATCGTGATATGTGTTGTACTACTTATAATACTGATGTGGAATAGGTAACCGGCCCCAAAAATATTTGGGTTCTCCAGCAGGTAGCAATCAAAATTTTGGATAGTTTTGAACTGATTCATGGCATGGCGTAGCATGGCAGGACGGTTGGAAGGGAATATTTCTAAGTGAGGAAGATTTAAATTTGACTTATTTTTCTAATACTTACGTGTGCCTATTTATGCTATCACTCCTTAAATTATCCTCTATAGTTTTCCTTTTACTTCTTCAAATTAAAGAGTTAGGGTAGGATAATTGTTTGTTTTTTTTTTTTTTGGATTTGCAGAACTTCTTTAAAAAGGAAGTACACACAGTATAGGAAGAGCCGAATAGGATGAGGCATCAACACAAAAAAACTTGAGAAAGAAGATGAGGCAGCAAATTTAACATTGTCAATGTTTATAATCGGCACTAATCAAGTAACAAATAAAGGAAACTTGAGAGTTCCCTATTTTTATATATCCCTTTTAGTAGGTGCCATTTCATATTGTAATTCTTTTCCCCTCTATAATCTTGAACATTGCAGAACCAATAATACTGAGTATGTTGCATGAGATTTGTTAAAAAATTTAACATTTTCTGATAGAAATGCTAATAGGATAGAACTAGTATAGAATTAGGAATATTATTAGGGTATTAAAGGTATATTAGTAATCAGTGTGGGAAGTTAGGGGGATTTGTTATAAATAGGGTGAGTGGAAAAGGATTGAGGTAGGCAATTGTACAATGTGGTTTAGGATTGAGTGAGAATACTCGAGAGAAGGAAGTAGAGAGGTCAAGTACCTCGAATTACTTCCTATTTTTTTGTATTTCTTTCATTATCAATATATTTCTCTGGTTCCTATCATTTTCTATTAGAGTAAATAAAAAACAAGAACATCATTTTGTTTTTCTTTTTCATCAGAATTTTCTTTTACAATTCCGAAAAACCTGTAAATTTTGATTTTCAAAAATTCCATCATTGTTCTCGAAAGCTGGAGAAAAGAAGCACAAATAATATCCGTTTGATATATTTCTCATAAATCATAAGACAAGTGTAACCCTTTACAAAAAAAAGTAATAAAATGTTCAGAAATCATATGCTAAATAGTAATAGTAACTATAGTTCTTTTTTACTACGTAAAGAAATTTACAAACAATTTGCAACTAAAGTTTTAGGTGGGAGGCTAACTCGCTATGAGTTGCGAGCAAAATGTAATGATGACATGCAAGTAAACCATTAATTTTATCCTTAAGGTATCAAATTTTTTCAATCAAGTCTCTGCTCAAGAATATGAGATCTAAAAATATTAGTCTCTATGAGTTTGACATCTTTTAATGTTAAGTATTCACTTTAGCCTATTTGGGCTATCCAAAATTTTAAGTGGACAAGATGAGGTAAATACTTATCAATAAAAAATTGACTAACTCCTAAAGTTAATCTCTCTTTAAGTTAAATATCCACTTTACCCTATTTAGGTTGGGCCTATCCAAAATTTTTAATGCGACAAGATGCAGTAGATATTTATCAATAAGAAAATAACTCCTAAATTAATCTTTCTTTAAGGACTAAATATATATTTCGCATAAAAAAAATGAGAACAATCTTCAAAAAATAAGATATATATAATGCTACATACCATTTCTTTGTCCATCAATCTTTGAAATACCAGTCATTGAATGAGCAGAATCACATACAAAATAGAAAGACATGGGGGTTAGTTTACTGTTTCAAGATGTAAATCCAGGAAGCTAGAAATTTTAAGTGCCTTCTCAATATTCTTCGTAGATAATATGCATCCATGTGCTCTGACATGCTAGACATCGGGTGGGACTCCCACCAAAAGTTAACAGCAATGGTTAAATCATCACTATCAACCTGATGAAACCTGTAGGAAAAAAAATGAATAACTAAAAAGATATTATCACGGGAAAGGTCAGATAGATTAAATGTGCATGGGCTACAAGCATTGTAAGGAGTGCTGTCTAGTGAGTGCAAAAAACTAGACAAGTTCTGCAAAGAATCGTTAGGAATATTATTACGATAGCAAGGCCATATTAGTAACCAGGAATTGATTATAAATAAATAAGTGGGTGGGATGGAATGAAGGTAGGCAATATTGTAGTGGTAAAGACTTGGGTGTGCTTAAGAGAGGAGGGTATCCAAGTACTTCAAATTACACATAAGTTGTTCCCTGATATATATACCCTCTCTGCAAAGTACAATGCTTCTCGCTCCTTTCCCGAGCACCTTTCTCTGTCTTACCGCAAACTTCTTTTGTTCTATCCTACAGCTTCAGCAATCCATCCATAAAATCGTCTTAATCTGCCCATTTTGCATTTAGCGAACTTTCTTCCCTGCCCATTTTCATTTATAGAACCATAAAATCATATCCCAAGCTATAGGGACTAAAATCATATCCCAATTTCATTCTTTGAAGTTTTCTTTAGCAAAATACTAAAATAATATCAACGGGAAACAACAAATGAGTTAAATGGACTTTAACTTTCCCCAAAATTACCCTTCAGTGACCCTTCTATATAAATCCTACCTATTTGACAAGAAAATAATAGGGGAGTGAAATCCCCTTCTCTCAGCCCTCTAATAGCTTGGATGGAAATGGCCACTAGGTTTCCATTAACTAAAAATGGAGAAGGTATAAACCAAACCTAGCACCTTCAAGTATCTCTGAGCACTTCTTGATAAGAATAACATTGAGAAACTGGCGAACTACAGAATAGTAGGCTTTCCCATCATTGAACACAGCCCTTTTCCTTCCTCCACTAACAACTTCATTGGCGACTAAATTATAATCAAGAATGCCCCTCCCTTCCACTAATACACATGTAACTAGATATGTGAAGAAAATCACCACACCATGTCTTTTTTTCTCATAACCATGTGTATCCGGGCAGCTTACGCCCACCTCAATTAATCTCACGAGACAACCACCTAACCTTACTACATTTGGTTGCCGAGGAAATTCGTAAGATATAAATCCTAAGTTGGTGGCCACCATATTTTGAACTCATTCCCTCTAAATTCTTTAGAACTGCCTTGGCTCCTTTAGACCAATGGGTCAACCTATAATAATTCGCCATACCAAGCCTTTAGAATTTTTTTTTATCAAAAAAACAAGCTTTTATTGAGAAAAATTAAAGAATACAAAAGTGCCTAGAAAAACCAAGTCTTTAGAATGCAATGAAAACTTGGGGCAAAAATTCGTATAAAGTTATCACAAGACTAATAGGCCTAGATTCAGTCACCCTATTAACAGCAAGTAGCTTAGGCTAATGATCTAATGATTGAGAAGGTAACGTAACACGTATCCGGATTTATTTTTGGTGGCTGGGGATTTTTGTTGGGCTGTTTTTATTATTTCCAAATGGGAGTTCTTCTATAATTGCTGGTAACTTTTCATGTCATCAATAAAAAGTTTTGTTTCCTCACCCAAAAAAAAAAAATACCATTTCTTTTTATAAGAGAGGTCAAAAAAACTGAAGGGGGGAAAGGCAAACCAACTAACCTCAGAGGTAAGAACAGATTTCAAATTTAGAACTAACTGGAAGGCTCAACTGAATGATATTATCATTAAACACATGAAACTAGATCCTATTACTTACCAGCCTTCTGGGATAAAAAGTGCATCACCCGCATGAAGAATAACCATCTGAGAGGATTCCATTGAATATTTTGCTCTTGGATAAAGTGAATAGTCAGGCTTTTCTAAAGTAACAGAACTGCCAAAACAAATATGATTTGGACTGGCTCAACATCAAACGTTATTAAATATATATATGTGTGTGTGTGTGTGTGTGTAATATAAATTAAAGTTTTTTTTCCTATATTTGTGAGTGTTTGTACTAGTTAGCGTGTACCTTAACTAACCTCATGCGACAACTACTCAATACTGTATCACTTGATTGTCAATAAAACTTGTAGTAATTTAATCCTACATAGGTGACTACCATGGGTTGCACCAATTCACTCTAATCCCTCTAGAGCAAAGCCCCTTTTAACTTTTTCACCTAGCCCAATGTTTACTAGACCAACCCTTGGTGATTGAATATAAATTTAAGTTTTTTTTTAACAGGAAACAAGATTCGTTGATGAGATAAAATATAAATTTAAGTTGACAACATTGATTGATTAAATCACCGCTAAAACTAAATGGGCAAGTTAGAATAAACAATCATTTTTATATATTTGTAACAAGAACAAATACCTTCTACATTAATCTGTTTGGAGAAAATAAACATGAAAATGACAACATAGAAGTACCATACCTATGATTAGAGGCCTCTCCATAAATCTGCATTGGGTACAGCGAGGGAGCAGCAGAAGGCGGCCACAAAATTACTGGAAACATAAAGCTAGATTTTAAAAAGTGAGTTGGATAAAAAAATATTTATAATTCACGCATGTAAATATGAAATCATTTCAAGGGTTCACTCAAGTTTCACCGGGATATACAAAATAGCACTAACATCATTTTGATATAATACAAAAATGCAATTGCCCTCGGTTATTTCCTGCAACTAAAAGATTGAGTTGTTGTTAGAAAATTGAGAGTTGCTATCCAGTTTTCTAGTCCTATCTTAATCGTAACGAGAATTCTATTGTGACTCTACATTTTTAATAGCTTTCTCCCCATTAGGATATTCTCATTATTTAGAGGCTTTCCTTGGCAGCATGGATATCCCTTTGGAAAAAAATTCATAGTTTCTCTCCTCAAGTACATCTTTTTTTAAAAAAAAAAGAAACAGATTTCATTAATGTAATGAAATGGAAAAGGAATACAAAAGGGGAAGATCCCAAACCAAAGGAGTTACAAAAAGGCTCTCCAATTGGTTAAAATAGAAACAAAGCTATAGTGTTTAAAGATAGGAGAACATTTGCACCAAGATACAACCATAGACACTATAGATTCAGAAATGATGCCAACAGAAAGCTCCTTTCCTAAGAAGATCCGGCGATTTCTTTCTAACCATGTCGACCAAAGCAGCGCCCTAACAAAATGCTTCCATAGGATTCCTGCTTCACTGGTGAAAAGGTGCTCCAAAAGAGTGGATGCTAGAAGAGAACAAAGATCCATGTGTAGGACTATAGGCCAACCGAAGGATGAAAGAATAGAGGCCCATAGCTTTGCTGTGCATTCACAGGAAACAAAAATGTGGCCCAAGGATTCTTCTTGTTTGTTACAAAGCACACACCATTGGGGTGAGAGACACATATGCTGCAACTTCTTTCTTCTTTTTAAGCTTGTCATGGATATTAAGGGCATTCCTATTGACCTCCCATAAAAATACTTTGATCTTTTTTGGGTAATGATCCTTCCAGATCGATTTGTAGGGCATAGTCTCCTCACGAGTAGTTTGTGAGGTTTGTAGTTCTTGTAGGGGGGAGTTGACGGAGAAAAGGCCAGATGGTTCCAAATTCCAGACAATTCTATCACATCACTGATTGATGTGGATGGGAGACAGCATGAGATAGAGCTCTAAAAACTCATGGATTTCTGCATCTTTGAGATTCCATCTAAAACAAAGGTTCCATGAATTTGTAGTTATCGACCACAACTCCTTTACCAAGGCATCTTTGCAGGAGTGTAAAGCAAATAGGAGGGGGAAGACAGTACATACGGGACCGGGGCCAGCCATCTATCTTTCCAAAAGAAAACTTTTGATCCATCGCCAATCTTGAAGCAGCTTCTGTCCAGAACATGTTGTTTCTGTTTTAATATAGATTTCCAGGGACCACGGGCAGAAGCAAGAGAATGGTGGAGGGAGCTTTTGTGCCTATTAAGGGGCCCATATTTGGCTTTAATGACTTGCCTCCGAAGGGCCAATTCTTCAGTATGATACCTCCAGATCCATTTTGCTAATAGAGCTTTATTCTTTTCTTTGATTTTGGAGATGTCGAGGCCTCCATCCTCAATGGGATGAGTGATCCTATCCCATCGCACCAGATTTTGCCCTTGTATGTTGCTACTCCCTTTCCAAAAAAAGTTCCTCATGACTTTCTCAACCTCCTTAGCGACCTATGTCGGGATGGGGAATAAAGAGAGGTAATAAATTGGGAGGTTGGATAAGGTGGCTTGTAGAAGAGTAAGACGACCACCTTTAGAAATAAAGGAGCTTTCCCAAGAGCTGAGCTTTTTCTTCAATTTTTCAAGGATGGGATCCCAAAAAGAAGCTGATTTAGACTTACCATTTAGGGGGAGACCTAGGTAAGAATTTGGCCAAGTTCCCTTTTTGCAGGCAAACCAGTTGGACAAGAGATCCAATTCTGTTTCCATCAAGTTGATACCCAGCAATTCAGTCTTTTGGAGATTAGAATTCAGTCCAGATGCTTCTTCAAAGGTTTGGATGGTACAAAAGAGATTTTTAAGATGATCACTATCCGGCAATGAGAAAAGGATAGTGTTGTCTGCAAATTGTAGGTGATGAATCTCCTGAGATTGACCCACCAGGAAACCTTCAGTCAGATTTGATGCCGCTGCATGGGGGAGGAGTCTACTGAAACAATCAACAACAAGGATGAATAGGAAAGGGGAGAGGGGATCACCCTGTCTAAGGCCTCAAGAGGCCTTAATTTTACCTCTAGGCTTACCATTAATGATGATACAGAAGTTGGAGGAAGAAATGCAGCCTCTAATCCACTTTCTCCAATGGGTTCCGAAGCCTTTTGCTACAAGGATACCATCCAAAAAGTCCCAATCAACCTTATCAAAGGCCTTTTCAATGTCTAACTTTATCACCACTCCTTTTTCCATCTAGCCTATCTCCCTCTCAATTTAATGCATATTTAGTCTTTCTTTAACTCCGAGCTTGTCAAGCTTTGCAAAGAACAGGTTACTTTGTTTGAAGAACACTCTAGAAAAAAGTTGGATATACAAGCTGATCGGAATAGAGAAATTGCTGAATTTCATGCCAAATTTTCTCAGGATCTCAATCCAGACGACGAAGATGGCGTGTTGGCGTGTTCGAAGTTAAAAATTCATAATGTTTTCTTTTATATGACCCTGTCTTTTGGAGGATCGCCCTTTTGGGTTTTATTCCTTTGTTTAGGGCTCACTTTCCTTTTTGTTTTTCTTTCTCCCCTTAGGAGCTTGTATCCCTTGAACATTTTCCTTTTCATAAACCAATGAGAAGTTCGTATCTTGTTCAAAAAAAAATAATAGCTTTCTCCCAATTAATCATTAAAGGTTAGCTAAACGTCTAAAAGTAAGTTTTTATATTTCATCTATTTTGAAGATTTCCATAATTTTAGCAAGATCTAGTTGTATTAGGATTTAGGACACTTGTTCGTGTACATATACCGTTGCTATAACTATAACCAGATGACATCGAATGAGAAACACCCTTGTTTTCCGGAGCTTTTACCTGTCCTATACATACATTTGTCATAACCAGTTGTATTTAATGTGCTTGCCTCAACGCATAGTTTTCTCGACCCTAAACATATACTACTATTAGATTGCGTCCAACCACCAAATCAATAAAGACTCTAGTGTAAGCTTCGTTATCTAACAGTATGGAGTACTGACACATCGGGTGACAGGCCATGAAGTGAAGGACAGGAACAAGAGGAATCAATGTGTTCAAATTTCTACCCTTGCACCATGGACTAAATATCTTAATCAAAGTGCTTAGTTTATGGGGTTGATCATCATTGAGTAAGTTCTGCTATCAAAATTAAATTTCTGAAGGATTGTGATTGTTCATAGTTGTTGCCTGATTTTAGACAAGCAAACAAGTTGGCTGGTCAGTTCACAGAGACATCAACCAATCGGAGGTGAGTTGGCAAACACTGGAGGTGGCAACGAGTGCATCTTCAAGGTTACCAGTAAACACAAGAGAATAAGGACATCAGTGTAGTCTCACGTGCTGAAACTCTATCAAATTTTAGACTCAAATTGACTTGAGCATTGGAGTGGATTTGGCGAACATCACACTCATGTTCTAGCTCTCGTGTGTGTGCAGGTAGCCTCAACGACGCATCCATCACCACCTTTGGTGTCACCAACTTACCCTGATATAGTGACGTGTGCACAACTATTGCCTGTCCAAAATCCTGGAACAACAATGATCAATTTGAATGACTTCCGTAAATTTGTTCTTGAAGGCTTTAGATAGGAAGCAGGATCAGATTGAATATTATTTGAGACATTCTAAATTGAGCTGAACGGTAGACTGAGGTATAGTCAGAAGAGACATTAAGCATCATGAGCATCTTCTATTTCCTTTTTATTTATTTAGGTGGGGCATTGCTTCAGTAATGAAAAAACCAGTATTCATTAAGATGAATGAAAGTGCAAAAGAAGGCTACAGACAAACAAGGCCGACCAAAAGTGGGGACCAAACAAACAAGAAAAATGAAGAACTTATATGTAAGCACTAGCAGATAGACACATTAACGAGTTATGAGTTCAATAATCTTTATCATTGATGTTCATGTTGTTGACAAGACAATATATTGAAGAAACATACGAATCGCATTCTTTTTGAGGAAAAAACAGAGAATGGCATCATAAAGATATATTGCAATGAGAAACATAAGCAATTAGAAGCAGGTAGGAGGACCTTGTTTGGTGCCAGAAACGATGCATAGAACATTATGGTGTGGGTCATAGTGAGTACTTGACCTAGACTGAGCACTGTTCATCCAAAGGTTTATAGAGGCTAACTTCTTTTTCTCCAGAAATGCAGGCTTCACATCAACCAAATGGGATAAGAAAATCAAGCAATGTAAAAACAGACTTAACAACAAGCAGCTTTTAAAAGCAAGAGGAAGAGAGATATACAAACTGTGTGAATATCTTTTCTTAGTGGTTCCAATTGCACTCTTTCTTCATTCTTAAAATCCAAAATTGGAACCTGAGTCAGACGAAACCAGATGTTGGATCTCGGAAGATAATTATCAGAATTAATTAGTGCATATATTGTAGCAAAGTTCTTCAACCTGCGCTAAATATAATTTTTGGGGATCATCTTCGAAAGGCAAACAGCCTTTCTCCACATCGGGACAGGTGATCCTGTTAGACTCTAATTTGGAAGAAACAACATTTCCTTGACTCCTTTCTTCCAAACGCTGATTGCAAAATTGAATAAAAGTAGAAAATGGAAGTGGAACCTAGAAAAGATAGACGCAATCATCAGAATCAAAGCAAAAACATCCTTAAATTTGAACTTCAAAATGAAAGATTTAAGAATCCTGATAAGTGTCATACTCTCTCATGGCTTCTAAGATCGCCATAAAATACCGGTGCCGATCTAGTCAGCATAGCTTCCACAATGCATGCCCCTGCACATTCCTAATGTTCAATTTACAAACACGATTTAATCACCAGCTCAAAATAATTCCAGGGTCTCGAAATTCGACCTAAGCTAGCTTATTAAAACAATCTGCAGTTTACAGAATCACTGACGAAGAAGATAACGGAGTTGAAATACAACCTGCAGATGGTCAAGGCCGCCATTGTACGGATTCCACTCCAATAAAGCTCTCCAGTCCTTAACGCATCCAAGAAGAACCTTCAGAGGCGGAGAACATGAGAAACGGAAGCTAATACAATGCAAATATGCAATTACCTAAGAATCAAAATCAGTGGAACTATGGTAAAGATTTACAGCGGGAACGTTGTGAGATTCGATGAGAGACTCGAAGTCTGAGGCCGATAGAGGAGCTTCGAAGCGTTGGATATGCAGATTCTCGTCCATTGATCGAGTGTTGTAACTGAGAGACGGCCGAGAAGGCGAGAACTGCGCCTTTCCGAGAGCAGGGACTGCGACGACGCTGCAACGGAAGTTACACGAAGGAATGCTTACAAAACGACGTGTCGTTCATATTTCAATCATATTTCCATTAATCAAATGATTTTTTAATTTTAAAATAATTCTACTTTCGGCTTTCAAACTTTTTTATTTAATAGAATATGTGGTATAGACATTTAAAAATAACAAAAATAAAGTTATCAATGTTTTTATGTACTGATTGGTCATGCAATCATGTATTTGTGCCATAAATGTTACAATATGTGTTAACAACAACTAAAAGTAAAGACATTTGAAAAATTGGACTAAGATAGTTATTTTATCAAAGTTTGTGAACCAAAAATTAATGGTGAAAAGAGATCCATCTTTTATTTTGAAAAATAAAATATAGGATCATAGCATTTATAGAGTGAGAGATCCAACTCATAAATTAACAAAATTTTTAATATAGTGTTTTTTTTATTCGGTGAAATTGAGAGATCTTTTTTTTTCTCAGTCAAAAATTTTGTTTCTCGTTGAGTTCTCATCAAATATCAAATTTTATCAAGTAAAAATAAAATGACACGCGTCATAAGGCCAACTAAGTCATTAGAGTGAGATTAGAAAAATAATCTGACATGGTCAAGTGCATTGAAAAGGACTCGGGAACTCCTGCACATCCCATACAAGCAGAGCGCTAACGCCTTGTACCCAAATCGTTACGTGTCTCAGTGGATCGTTCTATATGTCGTCATGCCCCCATACTACCAAACAATGGGAAACAAA